CCTAGAAAAGGGCAGCACAGGAGAATTTTTTGAAGGTGTTGGAATTGTTCTTTTTCTCATTTGTTGTGATTAATCACAGGAATTTATGCATGTGTTAAAATTCATGGAACAATACAACCAGAAAAGTGAATTCTACTATATGTAAACATGTAAAAATCAACAAGTCAAGGAACTTCCCTGGTGGACCAGTGGTTAAGACTCTGCACTTCCACTGCAGGGAGCATGGGTTTGATCCCTGGTCGAGGAACTAGGATCCCACGTGCTGCATGGCCACAAAAAAAAAAAAAAAAAGAAAATCAAGTCATATTTTGAAGCTGACCTGTTAATATGCAATTAATCAATTGCATGTGTCACAGAAAGTCTATTAAAAAAAAAACCAGGTATACTGAATATTTGTTACACACCACCATTTGTGTCTCCCTGAGTGAAGCACTCTAATTATGGAAGTTCACGACAGGAAATTTGTGGAAATCCAGGACACTATAAAGAAATTACCTTGTCAACATGTCTCAAATGTCTTGGCAGAAAAATAGTTCTCATGAGGCCAATTCTTTATTCTCTAAAGAAGCAGTTGTGTCTTCTGTTAAAGGAAGTTGTTCCTGGGACTTCCCTGGTGTCCAGTGGTTAAGGCTACAAAAAGCCACAGCACAAACCTGGCAAATCTTCCCAAAGCAGCAGTTGTTCTAGATGGTAAAACATTAAACACATGACTTTTCTATGACATATTAACTCAGATGTCAGTTGAATCAACCTACCCCAGGGATTCTGTAACCTTTAACCTGGGATGCACAGACCCTCAAAGTGTCCATGGATACATTTCATTTTCTCATGCACTTAGATGAGAAAAAATGTGAGCATTTCCTTTGTTTGTGAATATAGGAAACAAACCACAGAAGGAACTGTAGTACCTGTGACTTCATCATCAGTGTAAATCAGATACGTTCATGTTACATCACAGCTGCTACAAATATCTCACATCTTTTAAAGCTCATTACTACTTAAAGCTACAATAAGTATTACACCTGCTAATAGCCCTTGTTATTTAATAAAGAAGCATGTTTAATACTATAGGTATCACAAATTTGTTTTTTCCCCCAATATTCTGATAATTTTCTTTAAAATTTTGTAATTGGTTTTCTTTATAATACAATATATCTTTTAAGCTTTTAAAAACATTATTCTGGGAAGAGGTCTGTGGGATTCGCCAGACTTCCAAGATACTTATGTTAAAAAAAGGTTAAGATTCCTGCCATCTGCCATAGATTTGGAGATTCAAATGCAATTAACTCACTTTTCCTCCATCCAATATTCCCTCCAAACTTTGTACCAGTTCTTGATGACTTCCATTCTCATGTCCGGTGCCCACAGAACTTTCTAGCTCAGTTGTTTCTCTCCCCTGTCCTCCATGTCCAAAATAAAGAACATTGCCCCGTTCCCTTGATTTCCCTTAAACACAGCAACATATGTCTTTAGATCCAGAGGGGAAAGCAGTGTAGAGGTAGGGTGGGGATTAGAAGGTGCAGAGCATGGCAGAGACTGTGGACTGCATATTGGAAATTCCAGTCCTTTGAAAGTCCCTAGGGCCCATCTGCACAGGGAAGGAAGTTCTCTTGGGCGACTGGCAGCTCCCGTCCTGTGATCTTTCTCCTCCTTACACTCTGTTCTTCTTGGGCTGCTGCCAAACCCGGGGATTCCAGCTCATCATTTACTCGACCCAGTTAGCTTTCTCCTGATCTCACCCCTATCCATCACATCTGTGTATAGAAGACCTTGATTTTTTTTTTTTTTAATTTTGACTTTTAAAATATTTTATTGCCTTTATAACATGAAAATTTGAAAAGGTTTCCCATTCAAATCTAATTCCAAAAGAGAGGCATTTATAATGAGTTTAAACCTCTTCAAACTCAATAAAATCTCATGTCTCCTCTCCCAAATTCAAATTCACTTCCACAAGCACAGTGATCACCCATGTTCATAGAATAGCAGAGCTGGAGGAAAGATTACAAGGGAAGATAGGCTATTGAGGTACCCGTGGCCCTTTATCTTGAAAGCTCAAATCCCATGCTTTAATTTTCCGAAGAATCCCTGCCAGACAACTTGGCATCCCATGCTAACTCTTAAAAGTTTTTTTGAAATTATACATTTCATATCTGGGAAACTTACCATCTTATTCTTCCTTGGATATAGATTGATGTGCTCCTGTTCAGAATGTGGTAAAGTGTTTGTTTAGCAGACATATTCTAAACCATGAGTAGAGTGAAGGAAAGCTTCTGCGCATGTGTCTGATCAATAAATCTATCTGACCATCAAGAGTTCTGGCAGAGATGGGGAAAGTTAATTTCCAAGTCCATTTCAATCATTAGACCCCTGTGTAGTTATTATTTTACTTCACCAAATTCAAGGAAAGTATCCAAGGATGGTTCTAAGAAAACAGTATTGAGCATCAAGTCTGAAGTGTGAGATGTAGTCAAATTAAAGTTGAGAAAGTGAGTAACAAGGTCACCACTCAGAGATTAAAGGACAGTTTGAGATTATATTGTGAGTAGAGGGCATTGAGTTATATTGTGAGCAGAGGGCATTGCACCAGTATTTCAGGATTTAGTTTGTCAGTGGTAGAGGGGTATTGGATTCCTGCCTTTCAGGGTTTCACCAGGGGATGTTTCATGAATGGGAAGACCTGGACAAGGATATATAAAGATAGGGATGTCTTCTCTTCCACAAGTGTGGAAGAGGTTTCTCAGGAAGATACTCAAGAGCCCAGTTGGTGAGCGTCTGGTCATTGTGAAAGTCTCTTGACGATCTCTTGTCTCTAAGGTGGTGTGGAGCCTGAGTCAGAGCTGTCCTCCATCTGGATACTTTGGTAGGACTCTAATTAGCAACGCAGGTGTCTCACATCTGGTCATATTGCCTTCTAGCCCTCCTGTGCCCTGTGCCCTAGTGCTAGTGACAAGGGAAGGGCTAGTAGTAGTGGCTGGAGGGTGCAGCTAGGGTGGACTGCTGTAGGGGACCTTTCGTCTGACTCCTGGGAACAAGACATCACTTTGTACCCCAAGTTTAAATTGAAGCCTAATTTTAATCCTTAGCTCTAAAGATGTTCTGATGAGACTAAAGCCTGGTGTTGCCAATCCCACTCCTTTCCAAGGTGGGGATTCCTCTCCTCACTCCCACTCCCCACTCAGCTGGGACTCCTGTGATTTGCTCTGTTGCCTCCTAGAATCTTCCCAGCATTACTCTGGGATTCCCCATCTTCCGACAATGAAGGGACTATTTTCTCCCCTATATTTATGTACAGTTTACATGAACTTGAAGGTAAAACAAGAAACTTGTAAGATATTTTGAACTCACTGGGGATGACTTTGGAGTGTCCGCTCTCCTTTATCATCAGAATTTCTGCGGGAATGTTTGAAAAACATTGCTTTAGGGCTTTAAGGAAGACAAAGGCTGATGGAGGGGGTTACATCTGGTGGCGCAGTGGTTAAGAATCCGCCTGCCAATGCAGGGGACACAGGTTCAATCCCTGGTCCGGGAAGATCCTACATGCTGCCGAGCAGGTAAGCCCGTGTGCCACAACTACTGAGCCTGCGCTCTAGAGCCTGCAAGCCACAACTACTGAGCTATGCGCCACAACTACTGAAGCCTGCATTCTCTAGAGCCCGTGAGCCACAACTACTGAGCCCGTGAGCCACAGCTACTGAAGCCTGCACACCTAGAGCCTGTGCTCTGCAACAAGAGAAGCCACCGCAATGAGAAGCCTGCACACCACACAAAGAGTAGCCCCCACTCGCTGCACATAGAGAAAGCCCGCGTGCAGCAAAAAGATGCAACGCAGCCAAAAAAATAAATAAAATAAAATCCATATTCCTTTACAGACCCCACAGTTTGTCTCCAGCCTCTTCTAGCCAGTCTCTCCCTTACTCCACTCCGTTCCAGCCACATTGAACCTCTTGCGGTACTTAGAATCATCAGCCCCAGGGCCTTTGCACTTGCTGTTCCCTTTGCCTGGGATGCTCTTCTGCATTCTCTCCACTGGCTCCTGCCCTTTCTTCTGATCAAATGTCATCTCCTCAGTGAGGTGTTTCCTGATTTCTCACCAAGATGCATCCCGGTCTCTATTCATCTTTATCCCAGGACTTCTGTTTTTTACTTCGTATCACTTACCATAACCTAATTATTTTACTTGTTACATTTTAACATCTGTTTTCTCTACTGAAAGCAGCTCCATGATGATAGGGACTGGGACTGATCTGTGCATTGCTGCATCCCCAGTACATAGCACAGCGCTGGGCTTTTAGTAGGATCTCAATAAGTATCTACTGAATGATTGAACGGAGCATAAAATGTGCCCCTCTCAGGATGGTTCCGTTTTCACAAGGGATTACTGAAGATGTAGAAGCTTCCTTCTCAAAGGAATGAAGTTATGATAGCAGGAAAAAAAGGCACAGGATTGATATTTTACATCAAGGAAAACTTCTTATGTGACATTTCTTCCAGTTAGTGCCATCTGATCTGCTAACCCAGAGGGCTGACAGGGCAGTTTTTGGAGAAGGTAAAAGATTACGCTTTGGGAGTCCTTTGTACGTTTTGTATGGCCAGAGAAATCGATTTGAAGAGGTGAGCGCTGAATTCAAGAAATATTTAGTTCAAAATTCTAGATTCAGAACAGTTAAGAATGACTGCAGGGCTCTCCTGGTGGCGCAGTTGTTGAGACTCTGCCTGCCGATGCAGGGGACATGGGTTCGTGCCCCGGTCCGGGAAGATCCCACACGCCGCGGAGCGGCTGGGCCCGTGAGCCATGGCCGCTGGGCCTGCACGTCCGGAGCCTGTGCTCTGCAACGGGAGAGGCCACAACAGTGAGAGGCCTGCGTACCACACACACACAAAAAAGAATGATTGCAAAATTTTCCACATAGCAAATGGTCAAAGATGTAGTCCTTAATAATTGTATTATGACTTTTGGGTTGATTGTCTTTTAAAAATAATTTTTATCCTTTAATCCACAGGTCACAGTTTTTATCCACATGAACACACATGGCTTTGTTACGAAAAAGTAAGATTACAAAGTTTTAAAAATTATGATTAAAAATAGATATTTTGGAGGACTGTTTTGATGCTGAATCTTATTCTTCTTCTTTTTTTTTTTTTAATCTTCTTTGGTTTTCATGGATAGTTTTCCCACAGACAGTTGTTGGCATCATCATATGAGGATGATTTCCGTAGAAAGTTGTTGAGTGTTTTGTTCAGAGGTGGATTTTTCGTGAGAGGGGTCTGATGTTTCCGTAAAAGTTGCAAATATTATTTATTTTCTCATTTTAAATAAGTATTCATGTTTCTGCCTAATTTAGCGTTTGTAATTTCGTATTCTTATTCTTAAAGATTCACTTCAAATTATGTAATCTTCAGACCCCATCAAAACTGGACTTGCCTCTGATTTTATATCCAGTTGTTTGTGAATCTAGGGGAAAAATAATTACCTAATTGTGTTAGTTACCCTCAGAATAGAGTTGCCCAATGTGACAGATGAAAAGACAAGATATCCAGTTAGATTTGAATTTCTAATAAACTATGAATAATTTTTTAGTATAAGTATATCCCCAATATTGCATGGGACATACTTATACTAAAAAAGGGTCAGATGGTAGTAGACATTAGGCTGCTTCCTCAAAGTGGCTGTGGGAAGCGAATGTTAATCAGTTGTATCGATAAACTATAGAACTTTGTCCCTTGTCTTCTGTTTCTCTATAGTTTTGTTTTAAACTGAGTATAGTATCTGGTTGTCTCTGGCTGAATCTGATAACCCAGAAAGGCAGAGAAGGGATGGATGTCAGCAAGGCAGAACCATTGAGCCTTAGGACATAGCTCTGGAAGGCATCCATGGAGATTGTCCAACTCCTTCCTTTTACAAATGTGAAGACAAAGGCCTAGGGGCCAGAAAATAGATCAGTATGAGGCCAGTAAGTATAAATATCTTGACACACAAAAATAGTAAATAATAATACAAAACAATTTTAAAGTCTTTATTGGGCCTACATTGCCTTTGGTAACTCTCAAAACACCTCTGCAAGGTAATGGTTATTATTACAATCCCCATTTAGCAGATGAGCAGACTGAGGCTCAGAGAGGTTAAGTAACCTGTCCAAGGCCACACAGCTAGTAGGTGGTAAAATGAGATTTGAGTCTGACTTCAAATCCCAGCCCTTTCCCCTTCTACCAATGTTTACCAAACTGCAGGCATTTGTGTACCGCATATGGCAGTGTACCACTTTCTCAACCTTTCATCATCTGCGTTCCTTCTGTTCTGTGCATGACTTACTATTTTCTTTAAATTGACTCATTTAAAAAATTATAAGTGTATTTTGTAATAGAAAGTGTATACCCTTACTATAGAGTAACAGTTATGTCTCAGAAGAGGGTGACTGTACAAATATATATGGTTAGAGTAATGTTATTCAGTTCTGGGTAGCTTTTGTTACCTGCCTGCGTTTGAAATTAGGACTGATTTCTCACTGTGATTTAATGTTACTTAATGCTATGAACACAAGCCTCCTGAATCATCCCATGTACAACCAGTGGTGTATGGCTCCATACTTAGGAAAACACTGTCCGACACCATTCTAGTTCTCAGTAGATCCTAAGGGCAAGCATCACTGTTCTGGAAAGGATGGCCCTGGAGGCTTAGACTGGGAAGAGGTATTGGGATCTTCTAACCTCTTACTCAGGGCAAGAGTTTTATGTACATCATCCTTGACCAGTGGTAGAACTAACTGAGAAGCAGCTGTTATAATGACTAAGAACATGTATTCATAATAAGCACTGGCTCATCATAAGTGTCATGTAAATGTTGGCTATTATTTGAAACAAAGTATTCCTGCACAGAAAGTGGCTCCAGAGGCAGCATCATGCAGCCATCAAGGTTATAGCTTCTGCCATCAGACTGCCTGGGTTTAGCCCTGGCTGTCCTTAAACTACATTTGTGTAGCCTTGAGTATCATCAGTATCACAGATGAACTCTTGACTCCACATGCTACCTGCTTAGAGAAAGGTTCCAGGCCTCCAGTCCTGTGTATGTCAGGGAGAGCGTCTGTTCCCACTGGCTATTCTAAACTTATTCCACAGTTTCAGTTTGATAGGTTATACTTGAACATGTTTCTGTTTTTATTTCAGTTAACCAGGTGCTGCTGTTCCTTTTGATTGTGACCATCTGTGGGATTCTGTATAAGAAAGTTCATAGGGGGACTGCGCTCAGGAACGAAACAGGTATGCAAAGTGACATAAGCCAGTCACAAAACGTCAAATACTCTGTGATTCCACCAACGTGAGGTACTTAGAGTAGCCAAATTCATAGAGACAGAAAGCATAGTGATGACTGCCGGGGGCTGGGTGGGGGGAGGGGAAAGGGGAGTTGTTTAATGGGTATAGAGCTTCAGTTTTACAAAATGAAAAGCATTAGGGGGATGGATGACAGTGATGATTGTACAACAGTGTGAATGTATTTAATACCACTGAACTGTACACTTGAAAATGGTTAAGATGGTAAATTTTATGTTGTGTATTTTACCACAAAGAAAAAATATATTAAAAAAAAGAAGAACGGAGCAGGCAGGCAGGCATGTGGTCCATCAAGATGAGATACCTAAGAACACAGTTTGAGTCCTTGCGATAGCTGGGTTCAGAGAGAAACAAAAATTCAGTCAGCTTCCAGGTACCTGCTTTTAGAATATCCACCCAAGGCCAAATTTTCAGTTGTGTTGTAGAATGATCAGTGCTATTCAAATTTAACACATATCGGAACCACACAGAGGGCTTGTTCAAGCACAGTCCTGGCCCCGGGTTTTGAATCAGTAGTTTGGGGGTGGGGCTGAGAATTTGCATTTCTGATGAACTTCCAGTTGATGCTGAGGCTGTTGGTTTTCGGACCTCACTCTGAGTGGCCTGCTCTGCATCCATCCTTTTGGAGTCTCTCAATAATTTCGCTTAATGAGCAAAATCGCTGCATTGACCATATGTCCTCCTCCAGCTGCACTGGGGAGCCCGGTTTCCCTCTTCAGGGGTGAATTGCATGGGATGGAACCTCACTTCTCCAAACATACAAAGCCAACACGCTGAAAAATTAAGTAGCACCAGTAGTGTTTTATTTTTCATTAGTTTACTGTTTTATATCAGCAAAATGAATATACTCATTTATGGAAAATACAAAAGAAAAATATTACCTGTAGCTGTATCAGCCAAAGACAAATACAATTAATATTTTGGTGCATTATATACATTCATATTCACACTTTATTTTTAAGCCAGAGGCTTAGGCACTGGGCACACTACAAGGAACAAAATAACGTCCCTGCTCTCGCAAAGCTGACTTTTTCAATATAAAAAAATTCATAAGGACTTGCCTGGAGGCGAGTGGTTAAGAATCCACCTGCCAATGTAGGGGACACGGGTTCGAGCCCTGGTCCAGGAAGATCCCACATGCCACGGAGCAACTAAGCCTGTGCACCACAACTACGGAGCCCGCGTGCCTAGAGCCCATGCCCCGCGACAAGAGAAGCCACTGCAATGAGAAGCCCGCCACCTCAAGGAAGAGTAGCCCCCGCTCACCCCAACCAGAGAAAAGCCCGCATGCAGCAACAAAGACCCAACACGGCCAAAACTTAATTAATTAATTATTTTAAAATTCATAAAAAATTTAAAATATGTATAATCAGGTCTAGATGAACATTAGGAGCCTCTGGAACGTGAATGATTTCCATACAGAGATATGTATGCAGATATTTATAGGGCATTATTGATAGTAGCCCCAAACTGGAAGCAATCCACATGTGAATCAAGTAGTGAATATATAAAATGTGTTATATCCATGCAATGGAGTACTTTTCAACAATAAAAAGGAACAAACTACTAATACATGATACAATATGAATAAACCTCACACACATACTAAATGAAAGAAGCTAGACCAAAAACACCACATGTTGTATGATTCCATTTAAAGGAAATTTCTAGGAAAGGCAAATCTATGGAGACAGAACCACAGGTCAGTGGTTGCCTGGGGCTGGGAGTGGGAGTGGCTTGACTGCAACCCAGCTGAAGGGAAATTTTCTGGTGATGAAAATGTTCTAAAATGGGATAAATTTACTAAATATCATTGAACTATGTACTTACAGTAGGTAAATTTAAATAAATCTATATTAGTCTGCCTGGGCTGCCATAACAAAATACCACAGACTGGGTAGCTTAAACAACAGACATTAATTTTCTCACAGTTCTGGAGGCTGGAAGTCCAAGATCAAGGTGCTGGCAGGGCTGGTTTGTCCTGCAGAGGAACGCCTTCTCTCTGTGTCCTCACGTGGCCTGGTGTCTTCTCTTCTTATAAGGACGCTAGCCATATGGAATTCAGGGTGGGCCTCATTTAACCTAACTGCCTCTTTAAAGGCCCTATCTCCAAATACAGTCACGTTCTGAGGTACTAGGGGTTAGAGCTTTGTTACATATGAATTTTAGGGGTATGCAATTCAGTCCATAACAGTATGTAACTAATGACTCAATAAATTGCTTTGAGAAAGGTAGAGAGAGAGAGAGAGAGAGAGAGAGAGAGAGAGAGAGAGAGAGAGAGAGAGAGAGAGAGAAGGTCATACAAGGTCAAATGTTGTCTGAACTTTGAGCTTGTTACTCCTCATGTTTTACTTCCTGCCCTTAAACCAACACGTTCAGTCGGCAGATCGCATTGCAAATTCCTTTCTCCATGGAAAGAAATGAGTTACTTTTATAATAGCTGTTAAAAGAACTGTGAGGAAATGCACATCCTGACTAATTGGCTATATATTTATATACGATAAAAGTGTTTTCACCACATGAATGGATCCAATAGCACATTTTTATCCCACACAGTGTTAAAATTTAAAAAAAGAGAGGGAATCAGTGTCATGAAATACCACTCAAAAGAACATAGTTGGCATGGAGAGATGGATGTCTGTGGTATGTAAGTGGAAAAAGCACGTTACAGAAGACTATGAAAAGTATGATTTCATTTTTTTTCAGTTTAAAAAATTTTTTTAAATTTGTTTCAAAGTTAAACCCAAGACACACTGACTTCATAGGAAATCCACTGAGAAATGTTTTTCTAGGCTGAACACCTCTTTCCTTTTAGTCTCCCCCCAACAGAGCATGCACATGTTAATTACTTTCATTTTATAATCACTGCTGTCCCACCACTATACCAAGATCACCTAAACTGTGTGTGTAGTATTCTGAATGTTCTTAGTTATACCCTAATTTCACTAACTGCAAAAGATTTTCTGGGATACCCTGTCACTTGAATTCTTTGGCTACTTTTGAAGATGAAGTCCGAAGAACTGTTAAATGATTCTCCTTTGCGGGGGTGGGGGGAGGGTGGTATTTTGGTTTTAAAATAATACATCAAATTTCATGTAATATTTATATAATATGTAGTATATGTGCTTTTGTATGTATATTAAGAAGGGTTTGAGAGGCACATACCACACTGGTAACCTTTGGAATGTGGGCTGAGAGGTCTGCAGAAAACAGTCACCATTTGGATACTCTTCTGTTTGACTGGAATTTTCCAGAAGTGTATGTTAATATTTTATAGACTTTATTTTTTAGAGCAGTTTTAGTTTCACAGCAAAACTGAACAGAAGGTACAGAGATTTCCCCCATACCCCTTTCCACCACACACACACACACACGCACACATGCACACACACACGCACACGCTCACACACACACACACACACACACACACACACACACACAGAGCCTCCCCCACTATTAACATCCCGTACCAGAGTGGTACATGTGTTACAATCCGTGGACCTATGTTAACACATCATTTTTACTAGTGTCCATAGTTAATTTTTTTTTTTTGGCCGTGCTGCGCAGCATGCAGGATCTTAGTTCCCTGACCAGGGATCAAACCCGTGTCCCCTGCAGTAGAAGCAGGGAGTTCTAACCACTGGACCACCAGGGAATTTCCACCAGTGTCCATAGTTTACATTAGGGTTCACCCCTGGTGTTGTACATTTTATGGGTTTTGAGAAATTTATAAGGACATTTATCTATCATTATAGAATACAGAATAGTTTCAGTGCCCTAAAGATCCTCTGTACCTCACCTATTCCATATTAATCTTCACAATTTTTAAAACATTAATTCAAAGAACTAGTGTCATAACATGAAGTCCAGAGGCCCTGGGAAGTCATGTACTGAAGAAAAACATGGTACCATTCTATGTAATCTCCTGATAAGGACATTCCATGGAATCTCCTAACAATTTCCTTGCAATCAGCATGCTGGTGATCCACTCTTGGCCCATTTGGGGTGCAGCAAGTTTATATGTGTGGCTAAAATAGTTCTAATTTGAAATGGGATTCAGAGATTTGGCACTGGGAGTGCAGACATTTCACCTCTTCTAGAAATGGACATTGTTTGATAAGAGTTACTTGTGAGAAGGGTCTAAAGCAATATAATAAATTTCTAGTCCATATGCCATTATTATATGAGATTTTTATGGGCACCAAATGGCTTCTCATAACAAACCTTTTAATGGTCTGGCTCAGGCAGCATTTGGTATAACAGATCCAAGTAGTACAATGGCTGATTCTCAAAGATCTGCTAGGATAGGGCATTGGTGAAGAATCACAGTTGAAAAATCTTCCCATCCTTCCTCCAGTGTGCCTTCATCTGTCATTCTGTCCAGGGAAGACTTCTAGTCAGAGAGCAGTATTTTTGGCTTAGATTAGCTCCCAGATTCTCTGACTGGCAGAGGCTCTTAAGCAGTATAGTGGTGTGATGTGTCTGCAGCAGAGCTGTAAACTCAGTGTTTGACCTTCCCTTGGGGTGCTCTTCTTTCATGGGGACGTGTTCCTCCGAACCTCACTCTGCCCATAGCCAGATGAAGGGCTCTATCTGAGCCTGACATCCAGGTACTGCCCCAGATTTTCAACCCTTTCCTCTTTCTTTGCCCCTAAGAGTCACCCATGAATTATTCCTCTAGGGCCCTGTTCTCTAAGACCAATGCATCATATCTGTTTAGTTGATTTCAGCAAACTTTCATTAAGTGCTTGCTAGATGCCAGGCTCAGTGGGGACAATACAATGAGCTTACAGTCTAGTATAGGAGGCATACACACGAATAGATTCTTCCCATGCAGTGTGGTAAGTGCTCAAATAGGGGTTTCTAATGAATTCACCCAGCCAGCCAGCCAACCATCCAAAATGTATTGAGAATCTACCATGTTCCAGGCACTGGGCTAGCTGCAGAGGAGACAGAGGTGAACAAAATACTGTCCCAGCCTCCACAGAGCTCCTAGTGTTACAGGAGATATAGGAAAGACATGCTACCAAAACAATTGCAGTGCAGCTGGTAAATCTACCCACAGGCAAGGACAGAGTGAGCATGGGTGAGGGCTGAACTAATTTGTGTTAGTGAGCTGTTAAAGGCTTCCTGGGGGCTCCAATGTCTATACTGCATTTGGAATGAATATGTAATAGTTAGACATGCAGGAGGGGATGAAAATAATATTCCAGACATCAGAAACAGCCTGTGAAAAGGCATTGAGATAAGGGACAACATGGTGCCAGTATTCAGGGAACCGCTAGTATTTTTGCAACGCTGGAATAGAAGTAGACAAGGCTAGAGAAGGGAACAGGGACTGGATCCACGTGTGCCAGGAATGGAATGTGGCTCTATCCTATAGAAACCATGGGAGAACTTTAAGCAAAGAAGAAACATAGTCAAATTTTCATTTAGGCAGATCACTTAGATGCCTGCAGGTACCATATGATTAGGCAACATACCACATGATTAGGGGACCTCCCCAAGATGACAGTTTAGTCCAAAAGGAACAGTCCCTTAAGAAATTTTTTCTTCTCTTTATAAAAGCAACCTGTAATTACTTTGGAGAATTTGGAAAGTACAAGAAACACAAATAAGGAAATTAAAATTACTCATAATTCTATAAATAGACATAGATCCATTTGCAAATATGCATGTGTCAAATTGGGATCAAATACTGGAAAGGATTTTGTGTTCTCTCCCCCCCACCCTTAACATTATATTATGAGCATTATCTCATGCCAGCAAATATACTGTGAAAAATTATTGTAGTGGTGGAAATTTCACTTGCGGAGGAAGGTGGTGGAAGGGATGTAGGAGATAAAGAGGGAGGCCTTTCAATATTTCTTAAATTATACAAAGCAGAGTACCCGGTGGTTAGTTTCGTACACGTTTGTTGGATTAAATATCGGCTAAAACTACCCTGGGTCTGAATAATAGAGATTTTGCAAAAAGACATCTGTAAAGAGAGAGCTTTAAGTAAAACTCAGATATCTGTTTGATAGTGAATACTCTACATACTGGTAATTATTATTATTCATACCTGAAAGTTGTGTTGTGGTACCGAAATATGATGTTATGACATTAGTATTTTATATCATAGCCAAGGATCAGAAGAATAATCAATTATTCATCTTATGCATTAGTCATACTTTTTCATTTATCTCCTTTTTTTGCCATCAACTTTTGACTCTCTCAACAAGAGCATGGATAACAGAAAGCAAGATCACAAGCAGTATTTTTTTTTTTTTTTTTTTTTTTTTTTTTGCAGTACGCGGGCCTCTCACTGTTGTGGCCTCTCCCATTGCGGAGCACAGGCTCCTGACGCACAGGCTCAGCGGCCATGGCTCATGGGCCTAGCTGCTCCGCAGTACGTGGGATCTTCCCGGACCGGGGCACGAACCCGTGTCCCCTGCATCGGCAGGCGGACTCTCAACCACTGCGCCACCAGGGAAGCCCACAAGCAGTATATTTTATAGCAATGTAGGCAAGGTAAATATTCCAATTCAGACAAGAGTTGAAGAATGTTGAATCAAATGAGGCTTTTCAGTTCTTCACATATTTTTCAACTGTGTGTATGTGTTAGGCTATCTGATAGGCTATCTGATTTGGAGCTCTTTAAGACAGCTCCAAAATAATAGTGACTTAAGCAAAATAGAAGTTTATTTTCTCTCTCAAGTGAAAGTCTGATGTGTCAGTTCCATAATCATCCAGATCAGGATCCTTTCTATCTTATAGTTTTGGTGTCCTGAAGAGGCAGCTTCCATCTCATGGTACAAGATGGCTGCTTGAACTCCTATCATCATATCAACATTCCAGGCAATGGGAAGGGGGAAAAGAAAAGGGGAGGGCAAGCATGTTCCTTTTAAAGGCAAACTCAGGTGTTGCACATATACTGGCACTAACATCCCATTGGTCAGCACTTGATCACACAGAGCTGCAAGGGAGTCTGGAAAAATATTCTTAGTGGTTGGCTATGTGCCAGCTAAAGTTCCAATGTTGTATTTCTAAGAGAAGAAGGAGAGACTGGGATATTGGAGAATAATCGGCAGGTCTCTTCCCCACTATGCTATCTTCCCCCTGGAGTGTGGAAGGCAAGTCAGACTGTGAAATTCCTTCATGTTCCAAGACTCTGATTTTGATGTTTCCAGATGATGACTCTGAGACTCCTGAGGATATGGAAGATGAGATTCCGGTGGTGATTTGTGCAGCAGCAGGGAGGATGGGTGCAGCTATGGCTGCCATCAACAGCATCTACAGCAACACTGATGCCAACATTTTGTTCTATGTAGTTGGACTCCGGAACACTCTGTCCAGAATACGGTAATCTGTGTACTATAGACTTTGGAGTTTTCTACTTTCTTTTAATTGTCCTTGTCTTTCTTTACATGGATTCCCTTCTTTCTTTGGTTTGATAAATGTCCTTTAAATTAATGAGGGGATGACCTGAGGTTTACTTGATGGCCTGACAAACGTGTTCCTAGCTAAGGAAATTTTAGCAAAGCCTCATTAATCCGATAGGGCAATGCATCATTCTGCAGAAGTGAATTATCTAATGAATGAAGGAAACCCAGTCCTTAAGCAGTTTATATGAGTCTTTCTTTCTAAAAGTTTCTCTTTTCTCTGCTTTCTTAACCTGAGAGACTATTAATATAATATAATAATTTAATATGGCTCAGAATCATCACTAATTATAATTTTTAAACTGCAAAGTGGTCTCTTTCCTATCACACACCATACATAAAACATAAACTGGAGTTGGATTTAAAAGAAATAAACAGGAAATAAAATTCTAAATGTCTTACTAAAATGTGGGATAATTGTGTAATTTTGGTATGGAGAGTGACTCCTTGAGCCCAAGGAAAAAAACTGACAGATTTGACTGCTAATATTTAAAAAGTTTTAACTGGTGAAAAACACTAAGTGAAACTGATCACACAACAGATTAGGCAAGATATTTTCAACATGTATTATAGACAATGGATTACTATCCAAAATGTATAAAGAATTCTTACCAAAAAAATTAAAAAAGATGAGCATATAGTAGAAAAATGAGCACAGAATACAGACAATTCACAGAAAAAAACACTATAAATGGCCAGTAAACACAAAAAGGCATTCCATGTTACTAATCAGGAAATGCAAATTAAAACAATGGCGTGTAATTGCACTCATCAGGACGGTAAAAACTAAATAGGACAACACCGTCCTGTGCAGGAAAATGGACATGCTTATTCCTTGTTTACACAATGTACACTTCATAAGTTGGTAAAGCAATTTTGGGAGGGCAGTATGGCAATATCTCATAAACTGGTATATGCATATATAGTTTGACTCACCATTCCATTTCAACAGCTGGGAATCTGTGCTGCGGAAATTCTAGTACATATGACCAAAAATATATGTACAATCATGTTAATTTCAGCATTATGTGAAGCAGTAAAAAAGTTGTGAAGTGCTTAAATGTCCGTCAGTGAAAGAATATTTAAACGAACTGTGGAATATGATCCAGCTATTAACAAAGAAAGAAGGCATAGAATATCTCCACGACATATTACTAAGTGGAAAATACAAGTTGCAGTACACCTCATATAGTGTGACCCACTTTATGAATGTCTTAATCTGTTTGAGCTGCTGTAACCGAATGCACAGACTGGATGGCTTGGCTTAAAAACAAGAGAAATTTACTTCTCAAGTTCTGGAGGCTGGGAAGCCCAAGTTCTAGGTGCCAGCAGATTCCATGTCTGGTAAGGGCTCATTTCGTGCTTCATAGCAGGCTGTCTTCTCGCTGTGTTCTCACATGGCAGAAGGAATAAGGGAGTTCACTGGGATGAACGTCTTTTATAAGGGGCACTAGTCCCATTCATGAGGGCTTCATCCTCATGACCTAATCACCTCCTACAATTCACACCTCCAAATACCATCACACTGGGGATTAGGTTTCAACACACAAATCTGTGGGGGACACAACATTCAATCTATAGCAATGAAATCAAAACCCCCAAACTGTAAATTTGTACATGTACATATATGTATTTCTGTAAAGAAAAAGACCCAGAAAGATCCCCAGCTGTTAACAGTGACTATTTCTAAGGAGGATGGAGGAAGTGGAGAGAGCAGAGATGAAGGGAAGTTCAAGGTATTTCAAGTTCTGTGAGACTGAGAACACCTAAGCGGAGAAGGTGGAGAGGAGGAGGAAGAGAAAGTGGGGAGCAAGGACAGAAGACTGAGAGGCAAAGGTAAATTCAAATCATCCTTGGAGTCAAAACGGCAGAGTAAACACGATTCAGTCAAAGCAGCAGGTTCAGAAGGCCGGGCTTCCTTACAGTGCTGTTAACCCACGGCAAAGAGAGCACCATCAGGCTTCCCTGGTGGCGCAGTGGTTGGGAGTCCGCCTGCCGATGCAGGGGACACAGGTTCGTGCCCCGGTCGGGGAAGATCCCACATGCGCGGAGCGGCTGGGCCCGTGGGCCATGGCCGCTGGGCCTGTGCTCCGCAACGGGAGAGGCCACAGCAGTGAGAGGCCCGCGTACTGCAAAAAAATAAAAAATAAAAAAGAGAGCACCGTTAACCACAGATGCTGCTTTATAAGAAAGAAGGAACACTTTTTGTTCTTCTAGTTTCCTGTGGAGATTATGTGGATCTGGGGAGATATTTGGTTATTACTGTTTTGCTTCATTTCCTTTGCAGAAAGTTATGTGAATGAAAAAAAAAAAGATTCAAAGCTAAACCAGATGGGGAAAAAATCAGAAGGATTTATAGACTAGACTCTACTAAGGTTGCACATATTTTTAACTTTCTATGGAGGCAAGAGATTGAGGCAATAGGCAAATTGAGGAAAATTTGGAGGTGTGTGCTCGAGGTTGTTTTCTGTTTTTTTGTCATCCCTTTAGAAAATGGATCGAACATTCTAAACTGAGAGAAATAAACTTTAAAATTGTGGAATTCAACCCTATGGTCCTCAAAGGAAAGATCAGACCAGACTCCGCGAGGCCTGAACTGCTCCAGCCTGTGAGTAGGGATCGCACATGCCGGGGATGGTTCTCGGTGAGACCTTGTTCGGTGTGGAACACCAGCCACTGGGATGCCCACAGAATGTTGTAGAAGCCTAACAGTTTTAGATGTCCACCAAACTCTGCTATTTGTAATTCAAAAGCCACCTACTGCAGAAAGGATGTAAGATGGTTTACATAAACCATAATGAAGCTATGAAAGAAGAAAAGAAGCGTAAGAAGATGCAGCATGCATTTATGTGTGTAAATATGCCTGTGGGGCAGGGGAGGGCCCAAGTTGTGAGGCCTAGAAAAAGTATTCCCAGCCCAGAGGCAGTTGTGTGTACCGTGCTGGGACCTTACACTTAGCTCAGAGTATCCCAGCAGCTGAGGAAAAATGGTAGCAAGATGGATTACATACTTCAGAGTATTGACATACTTTCAGGAGACACCAACTTGCTTCCTGGCACTGGGAATCTTAAGGTGTTTTACTGCAAGAGCTCTTACAAAAGGGACCCTCTTCTGCATAAAGAGTGGTGTTTTTGATGGCAGGTGTACAGAAAATGCAGCCACCTTCTACATGTGATTATTATTTAAATCCATCCTTGAAAATTAACTAAATTCGAAGCCCTCTGATGATAAGATCTTTTCCCAATTCCAGATATTTATTACTAAGAATGCTAGCTGAGTTGGGACTTTGCATTATACAGTATTGTAGCTATTAAAACGTTAAGACCCCCATCCTCAGCCCATGCTTCTCTGGCTTTTTTCTGGTTCAAGGAGCTAAGAGGGTGAACCTGTGTGTGTGATGTGATGACGTGTGAGATGAGCTCCACATGCGCACGCACATGTGTGTGTATGCATGTGTGCACATATATGTGCGTGTGCGCACGCACATGTGCGTGTATGTATGTGTGCATGTGGGTGTGCGCGCATGCACACGTGAGTTTATGTGTGCATGCACACATGTGCTGCGTGTATGTGTGCCCGCGTGTGCGCACGCACACGTGTGTGCATGTGTGTTTAAGGCTGTTTTAGTTGACAGTAGTCAAATTACCGAGTGTAGAGGAAGGCAGGCAGTTTGTGGCCAGAAAGATTGACAGCCTCTGTGACTCCCACAGCATCAGTTCACAGAGATGAAAGCGGTGACAGTCTCAGCAGTGGGGGGTTTGGATCTAGAAGAACTGCTGACCAGCGCTGGTTTCAGTCCCAGGGCCCAGGTAAACTGGGCACCAGGAAGCTCAGGCGAGGCCTCTTTGCAGCCTCTGTTTTATTCTGCTCCAGGCCTGGAGCAGAGCAGAGGCCATGGTCAAAGCTGACCCCCCCAGCACACCTATTAGTCACTGGGCCTTCTGTCTCTTCCCCACCATCACTGCTTTTGTTGTTTTAACAGCTGAACTTTGTTCGATTTTATCTCCCTCTGCTTATCCATCAACACGAGAAAGTCATCTATTTGGATGATGACGTAATCGTACAAGGTATGCTCACCGATGCCAAGAACACTGGGAAACAGAGCAGCTGATAAGTAGAATAACCGTCTCTCTTCATTTTTGAAATATCTAGTGGCTCAGTGATTTTGATTGCTTATTAAATTTGGGAGTATAGTGTTGTTGTTAATCAGGAAATACTTTGAAAACGCGTTGATACTTTCTGGGACAATCCAGTTGACTTTCTGAGAGCCACTCTCTGATTGTCAAAGTCTGTAATAAGTAGCTTGTAAAAGTCTGTAATAGGTGGCCTTTCCTTTTTCTGCACGCCTAAAATGTAGGGGGACAAAACCTCACTGATAACATTCTTAGAAGCGAGCTAAGTTTTAGTGTTAAATGTCACCTTCTCTCTCTCGCGCGTGCAAAATAAGACGAGCATTGATGTGGTATGTACACGGCAACAGAAATAAAGAAATCTGACCAGTGTTGATCTGAGCTTATTATCTAGTGGCTTTTTAAATTGATATGACCTATTCTTGTCAAGAAAATTGCCAAGCCACGTGAAACCATGGATCACATACTTTCCCCCACAGCAAAATCAGGGATTGTTTAAGCTCGAAGGCTCTATCTAGCCCTAGAATGAGTGCTATACTATTGTAACTCGTGGTGTTTGTGAATCCAGGGGACATCCAAGAGCTGTACGACACCACTTTGGCCCTGGGCCACGCGGCAGCTTTCTCAGATGACTGCGATTTGCCTTCCTCCCAGGACATACACAGACTTGTGGGGCTGCAGGTGGGCACATGTCTCAGGAATCCTCCCTTTGCCCCTTATCCTCCCTGCACTTAAGAACGAGTGTCATCCTCACCTTGGAGAAGACTGGGGGACTGCTGGGAGGCAAACAGCCAGGGGCCCGGGCTTCCCATTCACATCCCAGCTCTGCTCCCACAGACTCCGGGGCAAGTTACTCACCCCTGCAAGTCCCGCTTTCCTTACCTGAAACGTGGCAACAGTAACATCTATTTGGTTGTGTTTTTGTGAGTTGTGATGAAATAACATGATGTCAAAGTGTCCAGTAAATGCTCCAGGAACGATGGTTGTTATCTGAGTCACTCGCAACCACATTCTATGGCAGAGATGGTGTTTACTGTAAAAGAGACTCACTGAACCTTTGGTTCCGTTTTCAGAGTTTTGACCATTATTCCCCACCCCCCTCCTTTCAGTAGAGGAAAATACTGATTTTGTTCCAAGGTAAAGAGCTCCTTACCCTGGTAGAAATGAAGACAGTCGAACCCAGATGTAACACCAAAACCAAAAGAATGGCTTTACAATACAAGATGCTCTTACGAATCGAATGCTGTTCTTCAAAAAAAGTTCCAGGAAATAATTTTATATGTGTGACATTTAAGCTGTGACACACTTTAAGGCCTAGGCCCTGGGGCCAGACCTGCCGGTCAGAATCTTGGCTCCATCACTTAGTAGCTTTGTGACCTTGGGCAAGTTACTTAATCAGTGGTTTTCTCCCTCATTTCTTAAATAGAGGTAATAACAGTATCCGTACTTCTCTGGTAGGGTTATTGGGAGAGTTAAACATGTAAACCGATCGTATGCAATTAATGAGGTAATATGCGTGAAGTTCTTAGAACAGTGCCTGCACATAGAAAAGTGCTCACATAGTTCCATTACATCCATGTTGTCTTTGAGCATCCCATGAGGTGGGTGAAATAGTGTGTCCTTCCTCATTTTACATTCACTCAAAACTAGCTATTGAGTGCTTGCTATGTGTCTCACACTGTTTTAGGTGCTGGTAACACAGCAAATAAAACAAATTCCACCTTTGGGTAGCTTACATTCTAGTGGGAAGAGGCGGTCAGCAAGCAAGTAAAATATTGAACAGAGGATCAGGGTGGAGGTGGGGTTGGATCTTAAGTTGGGTGATCAGGGAAGGCTCCACTGAGATGTTGTCGCTGAGCCTACACCTGAAAGAGCTGAGGCAACTATCTTAATAGATATTTAGGGGAAAAACATTTCAGAAGAGGTAACAGCAAATGCAAAGGTCCTGAGGCAGGGGTGTGTTTGGTGTATTAAAGGAACAAGGAGGTCAGTGTGGCAGAGGGGTCAAGGGGGAGAATAATGGAAGTTGGACAGGTAATGGGGGCGGGGTAGATGGTGGAGGGCATGGCAGGAATTTTAGGGAGTCTGGGTTTTACTCTGAATGAGAGGGGAAGCCACTGGAGGGGCTTTGAGCAGATGAGTAACACTGAGACAGAGTGGGATTGAAAAGGGTGGAAGCAGGACACAGGTTGGGAGGAGCTGGCAGAAATCCAGTGAGTGGTAATTATGGTTTGGACCAGGAAGGTAGTAGAGACAGTAAGAAGTGCTTGGCTTCTGGGGACTTTCCTGGTGGTCCCGTGGTTAGGACTCCACGCTCTCACTGTTGAGGGCCCAGGTTTGATCCCTTGTCGGGGAGCTAAGATCCCACAAACCATGTGGCGCGGTCAAAAAGCAAAAAAGTGGTTGGCTTCTGAATATATTTTGGAAGATGGGCCCGACAGGATTTGCTGAGATCTGGATGAAAAGTGAGTGAGGAGTCTAGGATGACCTAATGACCTTAGGTGTCTGTCTAACTGGAAGGATGGAGTGGACGCTGAAGCAGGGCAGGTTGTAGGGGAGCAGGTTTGGGATAGGATTGGGGTCAGTTTTGGGGTATAAGGAGAGCTGCCTTCCTAAGCACCCACAAGGACAGATAGAGTTGGCAGATGCAGTAGACCTGGAAATCCAGAGGAGAGGTCTGGGCTGTCTACACGGAGAGATTTAGAGCCATGAGACAAGATGAGGCTGTCTAGGGAGTTGCTGCAGAAAGGAGCAGATGCTGGACATGAGACTAGGGGCACTCAGTTTTTAGAGGCTGGGGAAACAGAAGAAAACTGGGAAAGGACTCCAGGAAGTGGCCAGTGACACAGGAGGAAGCCCAGGTGCTGCATGACGGTCTCAAGAAAGTGGTTATTTTCCAGAAACAAAAGACGCCTTGGTCAAAAGCACACATATCCTCTTCCTTTATAGAACACGTATATGGGCTATCTGGACTACCGGAAGAAGACGATAAAAGACCTTGGCATCAGCCCCAGCACGTGCTCTTTCAATCCTGGTGTGATTGTTGCCAACATGACGGAATGGAAGCACCAGCGTATCACCAAACAATTGGAGAAATGGATGCAAAAAAATGTAGAGTATGTGTGGCCCTCTTCCATTTTTTCCATGCTTGGGAGTAAAATTATTCCATTAATTTTCTATGCATAGCTCAGGGGTTAGAAATATTTCAGACATCTGAGGTCAGATTTTCTTACAGAGGCACTGTTGAGAAAAAAGGGAGCAGTGGATGAAAAATCCGTCCTCAAACGATATGTCATAGGAGGTGAGATCCTGTGCAATCCCTTATTATACCAAACATTTTCTAATAAATTGTTTAGTAATGTGATTTTTAAATCTTCTCCCAGAATTCTAGTGAACCTTTTTGACTGCAAATCATTTATCTTAGTCGAGTTTCTCCTTCTTACATAGATTTATTTTTAAGAATTATTTTATAAAGTCAACTTTTTAAAAAATAACACTTAACACAGGCTTCCCTGGTGGCGCAGTGGTTGAGAGTCCACCTGCTGATGCAGGGGACACCGGTTCGTGCCCTGGTCCGGGAAGATCCCACATGCCGCGGAGCGGCTGGGCCCCTGAGCCATGGTTGCTGAGCCTGCGCGTCCGGAGCCTGTGCTCCGCTACGGGAGAGGCCACAACAGTGAGAGGCCTGCGTACTGCAAAAAATAAAAATAAAAAAATATCACTTAACAACATTTAATGACACGGCCTTAAAATTTATAATCCATGCATTGACAGAATTCCAAAAACTAATTTAGAAATTCACAATACCAATTGGAAATTTTAACATACTTCTCTCAGTAAATGATAAAGACTAAAAATTAGAAAGCTTATAGAAGAGTTGAACAAGACAATTTACAAGCTTCATCTTTATACATATTGATAAGACATTTTAAATATCAAAGAACTCATATAAACTACCTTTTTATTGTAAATTAATTAAATGCAATATCATTAGCAAAAGAAATATGATGGGGAAAACATTATAGGCCATGTTTGAAATTCATAGACAGAAGATAGTATTCCAGAAAAGCAGGTTCAGGAAGATATTTCAACATTTTAAGGAAGGGAGAGAGCAGGTATTACACCTGTATTGGTTAGTGGGTAAGCCTACAACCAAAGGCCCTGTGAGTCTGGTTCCTGGAGACATCAGAGCAATTGATCCTTGTACTGATCCCACTGTACTGAGTTCAGGAACACACCTGGACTAAACTCACGTTGGCCTGTAGGGGTTGAGGGAGATGCCTGAATGTACTGTATTGAACTGCTCTCGGTAATAATATTATATAAATAAGTGTGATGATCTCAGGCATATATTCCAACTAGCCTATGCTCAGACTTCCTCTGGCCTGTTAAGATTGAGAATGCTGGGTTTCCTGAACGGTGATATTACCCTCATTCACTTAGACATTATAATCCATAACTGCAGGATCTTAGGGTGTGGAAATTTGCCCTTCCATCTTTCCTGGAAAATGTGCTGTGTATCCTGACATCGCTAACTTCCTTAAGGATCCTTTAGAAAAATGAATCCAGCTTGATTTCCTAAAGCAATGTCTGTGTTTGGTCTTTCGTCAGTTTAAGCCCCCAATGAAATTTATTAAGTCCTGTTTGTAAAGTCAACTTTTTAAAGATTGAATTTTTTGTATCAACTTTAGAATTTTTTTAAAATTTATTTTTGGCTGCGTTGGGTCTTAGTTGCTGTGCGCGGGCTTTTTCTCTAGTTGCGTTGAGTGGGGCTACTCTTCGTTGCGGTGCGTGGGCTTCTCACTGCGGTGGCTTCTCTTGTCGCGGAGCATGGGCTCTAGGTGCGCGGGCTTCAGTAGTTGTGGCACGTGGGCTCAGTAGTTGTGGCTCGCGAGCTCTAGAGTGCAGGCTCAGTAGTTGTGGCGCACAGGCTTAGTTGCTCCGCGGCACGTGGAATCTTCTGGGAACAGGGCTCGAACCCATGTCCCCTGCATTGGCAGGCGGATTCTTAACCGCTGTGCCACCAGGGAAGTCCTAGATCAACTTTAAAATATGCATAATACATTGACTGACTTAAAGTTAAGAAAAGTAAAGTAAAATAAAGATTGAATTTTTAAATCATTTTTCATCATTGAAGTTTTAAGAGAGAAAATAAAAATAACACAACTACTATTATCATGGCATTGTATATCTTGTCCATCTTTTTTATCTGGATATTTTTAATATTATCATAACTTTGAATTTGTGAGTGAAGTCATTCTAAATAATGTAGGATCAGAATTTGGGATCTTCGAAGTTTGCCATAAAAAGGCCTGAGAAGTAAAATGGCAAAATATTAACACTCTGTGAATCAAGGTAAAGTATATGGGAGTTCATGGTATTCGTCTTACAATTTTGTGTAGGTTTAACAATTTTCAGAATAAAAAGTTGGAGAAAAATGAAAGACCATAGTTATATAGTGAGGGACTGTCTTATACCTTTTAAAATGATTAGATTCTACTTCGTCTGAGTCTGTGGGACTCCAGGACAAATGTTGCTTTTTTATTCTGTTTCTTAGGGAAAATCTCTACAGCAGCTCCCTGGGAGGAGGGGTGGCCACCTCCCCAATGCTGATTGTGTTTCACGGGAAATACTCCACCATCAACCCCCTGTGGCACATAAGGCACCTGGGTAAGTATTTCAGAAGAACACCAATGTGCATTTTATAGACCCAGTGAGCACCAAGGTGAGGAGTGTGTGCACCAGCTTCCTCAATTCAGATCCTCCAGGTGACCTTGGAGGTAACCTTGGACACGTTACTTAAGCCTCAGATTCTGCAAATGCAGGTGATAAAAATGACCTGAGAGGTGTGTTTCTAGGAATTCAGGAAAAGCAATTAGACTCATGCTTAGCATATAGTATGTGCTTGCTAAACATGAACTATTGTTACGATGGAACTTGCACTGTCAGAACTTTTTCACATCCCTTTATTTCCCTCTTGCAGTAGCCCATAGTGGACAAAACCAAATGAATTACCATAATAGTTTATGATGAATTTAGATAGCCAGCAATTTCTCTTTTAAAAAGAAGTTGTTTAATGACTGTGCACTACGTGAGTCCCTCAAGTCTTTTATTCACTCTTCACTACAGGAGTACAGGCTCTGGGGGTATGGACCGGAATCCCAACTCTGCTATTTTCTATGACCTTGGGCAAGTTACTCAAGCTCTCTGTGCCATAGTTCCTTCACTTGTAAAAGGAAGCTAATAGAACCTTATGTTTTTACAAGGAACAAATTACCTAATATGTGTAAACTGCTTAGGACAGAGCCTGGCACAGAAGACATTCACATTCATTCAAACATATGGCCACAACCCATTAGCCAAAACCACTGGGCCAGATCTGTTTAGAAATATAGAAAGGTTTTGAATTTTTAAAAGGTAATGTTGTGCACATACTTATATTATGCAGTACCGTGAGAGGGTTATAGATTTTGCTGCCAAAGAAGTTATTAAAAATCTTTTTGTTTTCAGACATTTGGGGATTGATTATTTTAGAACTGGAGACAATGGAATGTGGACTTATATTTACCAGGTGCCCATACACTGCCAAGCCCTGGGCTAGGCTCCAGGGATAGACGGTGAACATTACTTCTCTCAGAACAATCCTGCAAGGTGATATGTCCCCTACTCTCCCTTGTAAAAGGAAAGACAGACAAAACTGTGGAAGTTGGGTTACTGTCTCCTCTGAATGATGCTGTGTAGATTTGCTTCTGCCTCACCAGAATCTCCCGAGTTTTCTGAGCATCCGTATGCATAGAAGAGTGACACGGGGACATTAAGGACACTAATATTCTGTCTGATTCGCTTTATAATAATGTTGGGTTCACTGTTAGGTCAAACATCAACATTTCCATGTGATGAGTGTGTAGAAAATCTCATTAAAGTGGAATATCTATTAAAATGTTGTGTAGGAACAGCTATGCGGAACTTAGATAGATAGGGTTAGAGCAGTTTATGATCTTGGAACAGAGACTCAGAATTACATTTTATGAACCATCTAACTTATTGACAAGTAGGAAGGAGCAGAATCTTCCCAAGGGAGAGAAGTCATTTTTCCTTGTAGAACAGAGCCTACGTCTCTGCTGAACGTTTTGGAATCAGGGATGGTCTGCAAAGTAAAGCTACACAGAAATCATTTGAAAAATGATTCCGTTTTAGAGTTTGTTGAAAGCAGAAAGCAGTGTTAACACTAATGGGTATTAAGTTTGGGTCTCAACAGGTAGGTTTAAGATTTTTTAAATTTATGAAATTTATTTAGCTAAAAGCAAAACTGCAAGCCCCTACAGAGTCCTTCAGTCGTGGGGCTGAGAGACAGTGTCCTACTTCCTGGAGACTTCCCACATGAAAGCTTTGCTCCCCAGAGGGGCATTTCCTTGTATAGATTCTTTGGAAGTTGATAATTATTCCAATTCTGCTACTACAGCCCAAACACTAGCTCCTCTTCTGCGACTCCCTGCACAGCTATGTTTATGAATAATGAAAGAAAGGTTTGGAGGGGGGTGTTTCCCCCTTACGTCATATGTTAAATGAGAATAATAATATTCTAGCTATTCATCCTCTCTTGACTCAGTGGACTTTCAGTTTGTTTTTTAAAAACACCACATTCTCTTTCCTAGAAAGAAAATGTAACATGATAGAGATATTTAAAAAATTTATATTCACAAGACCTTAATGTACTTCTGGAAGAGATATTCTAAAAATATTCTGATCAATAACAATATCAAGGTAAATGTGTAGCCTCTAAGCGATTACTTATGAGGAGAGTAATATTCAAATGGAGGCAGCTGTTTGTTAAAAAGTAGATCTCATTCTCAGTCACATTTTATAGGGTAAACACAAGACTGTGTAAAAGAGAATGCTGCCATATTAAGGACGGAAAATGCAGAGAAACAAGAACTATAAACTCTGGGTGGGAGGGAAATTAATACAGTCTTTGGGGGACAATTTGACAATCTCTTATCAAAATTTATAAGGCACAGACCCTTCAATCTAGCAGTTCCATATACAAGATTTTATCCTACAGATATTATCTGTACAAGATATGCATAGAAGACTGTTCATTGTAGCATTGTTTATGCTTGTGAAGGGATAGAAACAGCTTAAATGTCCTTAATAAGAAACTCACTCAACAGTCATATATCCATTCTATGCAGTCATTAAAAATGGTTCAGTGAATTCACATGTGCTGCTGTGCAAAGTTTTCCAAGACAGTAATTTTAAAAGGCAGGGTACAAAAAATACACACACACACACACACACACACGTACACAGGTATACAGGTAGAACATTACTGGAAGAATTTCACGAGAAACTCTAACAGTGGTTATTTTGGAAAATTAGGGTAGGTGGTAAATTCTTCATTGCATACCCATTGATTTGTCTGCTTTCTTTTTTTTTAATGATGAACTTGTATTGAATTTTTAATATAAAATTTTAATTTCCTAACAAACCTATTACTTTCCTCTAAACACAATGAAGGCTGGAATCCAGATACCAGATATTCGGAGCATTTTCTGCAGGAAGCAAAACTACTCCACTGGAATGGAAGACATAAACCTTGGGACTTCCCTAGTGTTCACAACGACTTATGGGAGAGCTGGTTTGTTCCTGACCCTGCAGGGATATTTAAACTCCATCATCCCAACAGCTGATATAACATGACATTTTAAATATTTCCTGTATAAGTAATGTGGAATTGTCCATTTGTAGCCTAGTATACCACTGTTCTTTTTGAACAGTACCTTTGATACAAATGATCCACAAAAACAAAAAACCCTACTGTGTACAAATAGTACCTTGAATCATATAGGTATTGATTTACTTCCTTAAGTACAACTGGCAATTATAGAAGATAATGTGAGTGAAACATGCTATTGGGAAGAAATAAACCCAGATAGATTTCAGCAATCAATTTGCTTAACTCTGAATGAAAATTATAGCCACAAATTTAAAACATTTCTAAATATATTTTTCACATGTAGATTTTTTTTTTTTAATTTTTCCGGACGCGCAGGCTCAGCGGCCATGGCTCACGGGCTCCGCGGCATGTGGGATCTTCCCGGACCGGGGCGCGAACCCGTGTGCCCTGCATTGGCAGGCGGACTCTCAACCACTGCGCCACCAGGGAAGCCCTCACATGTAGATATTTTTTAACAGGTTGTCAGTCTTGTCTTGGGTAGAACAATATATTACATTTAAAACAACATGAAATGTCTGAAAAAAAAATATTCATAGATTTTTAATGATTTTCATTATATATTATTCTACATGTTAAATATAGTAGAAGACAAACTGATCTCAGGTTAACGAGGGGAAAGAATACCAGTAAGTCTTGCTAAAGAAGACAATGCAACTTAAGGATAATCATCTACAATATTTTTTATTGTAAAAACCATCAGATTTTCAAATGAATTTAAAAACTTTTTAAATATTATTTAATGAAAAAGTCTCATATTGTTGTATATAGGGTATATCAACATTTACTGTTCATCTGTCATATTTAATGAAAAACACCATTATTGTATGCTTGAAAAAAATCTTCAAACCCATTCTCTAGTGTGTGTCCATCATAATTTAAAAGGCATTTTCTCCACTCAAAAAAATCTGTGTAAGGCTGTAATTGTTAAAAACCAAAGCAATACCTAGTTACATGCTTTACAGAGTCCCAGGAAAAAATAATTAAATTGTTCCTAATCCCTGATGCAAGGCACTTCAAAGCACCTGCACAAAACATCCATGTAAACAGCAGTACAGTACATGATTTAAATAACACGAATGACTTTTACACAGCTTTACCTAGACTAAAGGAAAAATAAAATCCATCATAGCTACAGCTACAAAAGCATGGTAAGATTCACAACAATAATTTGTATCTCTTATTACAAAAAAAGAAAACCAGGCTATATAACCTTTTAGAAAAACAGAACCTCATAAATATTTTCATATCAAGAAACAGCATGCTCCCTGGGTAGGAATAAAATCAGAATATTCAGAAGTGATCAGGAGTAAATGCAACTGGCATTTCTGAATACCCAGCTTTGATATCCACCAGGCCTAGTAGTCTGGACTATTTGTAGCACCATGGAAAATGCATTAGAAAATCACAAAGGTACATTACTTCAAAGTAACCTGGCCATGAGGTTCACTTAGTCCACAGTAACAAAGAGCAATGATGAAGAGAAAGAATTTTTAAAAATTACTGGCTTATTCGATTTACCTAGCAAGAAAAATCCTGTATTATTTATTTTAGTACATCTCATGTACATAAAGCACCAGTTTAAATAAGATTATCAAACACCTCCAGCATCTTGTTACTCAGTCTGAAAGTTCATTTCTCATCATTTCCATGTTACATGCTTAAAGCCAAGGAGGATAAAATTTGAATGGTGATAGATACTGAGAGAGAAATTCAGTTCCTTCCCTATCAAATGTATGTCTCTCAAGTACAACACAGATGAAGCAGCGAAATTTAAAAGGTCTTCTGCGCTCTCTGGAACTTACCATCCCAGCAGAATAGTTTCTCCCTACTAGAGGACCAGCACCTGGGGGTGAGAGGGCCAAAGCCAGGCCTCATGGCCCTGACATGGAAGGCCGGGTTAGCCTTGCTGCTGCAAGGCCATACTCTCCATTTCTACCACCAAGCAACTCTCACAAACGCTCACCCCTGGTAAAGCAAGGAGGTCTGAGTGTGAATACAACTCAGGAAGCCGGTCAAACACCACTAAAAACTACCCTCCGCTGAGGGTTAACCTCACAGATGAAAATCAGCACATTTGCCTCTTTACCCGTGGGAGTCTTATCATCAGCATGCCCTTCTTACGCATGAAAGGGATAACGGTGCGTCTAAGTTTATGCACAGTTAATAATCAAGTGTAAATATGCAGACTCATTTTTAAATTACAGGTTAAAAATGACTCCCAAAAGAAAATCAATTTCTTCATAAATGAAAGATAGTTTATAAAAAGCTGGAATGATGATTAATTCCAATACAAAAACTCATACACAAAAAACTCTACTTTCTCCTTCCAAAGTACTTAGGTCCGTAAGTAGTTCTACTGTCCCATGATTACACCACCAGAGTAAAATATGAATAAAATACTTCAGTTAACAAACCACTCTGAGGTGGTGTCAAGAGGGCCACTTCTTGACAACTGCATTAAAACTGCAGCATTTAAGCAGGGCAGAGAAACACCATTCTTAAGCATGGTTTCCTTCTTCCTGTTCTTGCATCCCACAGTGATTATTAAAGGAAGGAATCTGGTCTGTAAATGACTGGGTCATCCACTGCCCATTTGGAATGTCACTGAAAGTTGATCCTCCGCTGTCAGCTGCTGGCAGGAGCGGGGTGGGGGTGGGGGGAAGGGGGGAAGAATGTTAGTTTATTCTATTTGAAAGCTTTAAATGATCTAATTAGGAGATTTTAACAGTCCAGTGAAGGAGAGCTGTTATTAAAATAGTTAAGCAGCCTTCTTGAATACAATTGTAAATTTCTCTTCTGTTTTAAGATATGGACTGGTAAATCCTCATTTGTTATCCAAGGAGGGAAATGCACTTAGGATGACTTAGAGTCAGTGACTTAAAGAAAATGAGCTGTAAAAGCTTGGGGAGTTAAACACCAAATAACAATCGAATTTTCACTCTACGTCACTAAATAGATTTTTGTATTTCCGTTCCCATTCTTCAGGAATTTACTCTCTCTAAAAAAACTTCTTTCCCCAATCCTGGCAAAACCAAGTCTTTGAAAGAAACAGACAGATGGAGGGGACATACTCAGCCCATCTGAAGAGAAGCTGCAAGGTTCACTACTGCACGGCTTTTCACTATAAGCACCACCGTATGCTGCTTCATAACCCGGATCATACTTTTCTTCCTTCACAGCCATCTTCTTTGCATCCTCTGTGAGAAGGGTAAAAGGGATTTAAAACTGATTTTGTATAACAATTTTGAAGATAACTTTATTCAAAAAACATTATCGTGAACAAATCTTTTTCTTGAATGTCACAACTGAGACACAACTTTTGCTTTAAACTCTTTGTAACATAAACCAAATTAACTCATAAAAGCTGTCAAAACCTATTAGATTTAATTCGAGGTGAGCTGCACTGTTTCTTGGCTCCTAGACATCTGCAGGAGCGCCCAGATGAGACAGGAAGTCCTTGGGAAAAGGATTTTTTTTTTTTTTTTTTTTTTGCGCTCTGCGGGCCTCTCACTGTTGTGGCCTCTCCCGTTACGGAGCACAGGCTCCGGACGCGCAGGCTCAGTGGCCATGGCTCACGGGCCCAGCTGCTCTGCGGCATGTGGGACCTTCCCAGACCGGGACACGAACCCGCATCCCCTGCATCAGCAGGCGGACTCCCAACCACTGCGCCACCAGGGAAGCCCGGGAAAAGGATTTTAATAGAGACTAACACCTGTTATCAGAGCACTCTGGCTGCTAATATAATTGTTTTCTTCTCTCCTGCTTAATTTAAAATTCACAGCATACTTTCTATAATGTAGATACACAAGAAACGAACAGGAGTGACAGTGGTAACATACCTTGGGCTAGCCGCAGGTCAAATGTATATTGCACCTCTTGGATGTCTGTGTTTCGCTCAATGCCTTTCAACTGATCTCTTAAGTCTTTCAGCTTAATGTAGTAATGAACTTTGTCCTGGGCTCGAGGAAACTGAGCACATCTTGCACTGGATGATGGCATAACATAGCAGAGCTAGAATCATAACATTTTGTAGTTATAGAAATCTTACAATTCTATTGAATCCACTCATCTTGAGATTAGAAAATCTGTCTTTCGGTTAATAACTTGATACTTATATAAATATATGCAAAATCAATAAAAGTAGCTGTGTTTGAGTTCAAATTTGTAATAATTACTTTGTACAAAGTCAATAAATCAAAAACAGTGAGGCTTCCCGCCTCCCCCAGTGATCGTACAAAACGACATATAAGTATACAATGAAAAGTCTTTCCTCTAAATTCTGTTTCTATCCACCTAGTTCTCTTTTCCAAGGGCAATCAATTGCTAGTTCCAGAGGCTTTCCATGAATATACAATCAAATAAATGTATCTGATATATGTACTCTCCCTCACCCCTTTTAAAAACACACAAATGGCAACATGCTCTATTCCCTATCCTGCACCCTGCTTTTTTTACTCAACAATGTATCTCAGAGATAATTCTGTATCAAATTCAGTATCAGGTGTCTATATCAGAGTAAAACAAGCTTCCTTTTTTATAGCTGTGTAGTAGTTTCATAATTTAACCAGAGCCCACCTGTGGGCATTTAGGTTGTTTCCAATCTTTTAATATTATAAGCTGTAGTAAAAAACCTTGTATATATTTAATTTTGAACATGTGTGAGTCTATCTGTTGGATAAATTCCTAGAAGTGGAATGGCTAGGAAGAAAGATATTTGCATTTATCATTTTGGATGATGATGACAAATTGTCCTTCACAGAACATAAAATATATCAGGATATATATATCTTATATAAAAGAGTGAGGCTGCTGAATTTTGGACTTTCCAGCTGCAATTTTTTACAATTTTTAAATTGGCCTCTGTACCATATATTACAGAAAAAAACCAAACCGTTATTGACTTATTTTGTTTTGTTTATGCAGCATTTAGAAAATACTGATTCAGAAAGATATGTAGGTGCAAACGCTACCAGGTTTTGTAAGAGCACATTTTCCAAGCTCAAGATAGTCTTCAATTAAAGTGATCCAGAAACTTGAAAAAGTAGATTTTTTCAAAGCTGGATCACTAGTATCATCAGTAACTCTGAATACTTCATGATAAAGAATAAATTTTATAACATAAATGCACTCACAGATCATTGTAAGAGCTAAAACTACCTATCTCGATATGATTCAGGTTCACTTATTATTGCACTACTATGATCACACATCCAAGAGACATACCTGAGCCTCATCTGGCATTTAAGGGACAATAATGCAGTACTTTACAGGAAGTAGTGAACTCA